TGTTCTGCCAACCTTGAGCAGAAGGAGATTGAAAAGCACTCTGATTTCTTCCAGGATACTTTGTGTAATGGTGCCTATTTAATTCTATTCAGAGATAAGAAAACCCAAGTAATAATATTTCATCTTGGTTATTTAGCTTTTACATTCAGCAAAAGCTATCAGAAGAATCCTGAACCTTAAAAAGTGCTCCTTTTAAACATTATAATTCAATAATTTGCAAGCTGCAGTTTATATTGTATAATTAAAAATGCTATTATTAGTAATGATGGATATTTGTTTCAGTTTCTCCACTTTTTTTTCATATTTGCTTGATTGGCCAAGTTATTAAATTCATTATCTCCATATAGACAGACCTTACATCATTCCAAGGGAGGCAGCGAAGCCACAAGCAATCTTCTTCTTTTGCCCACCCATCTCCTGGCTGCTGCTATTAACCTGTTTTGACACAGGAAAACTGAACTCACTCATCCCCTCACACAAAATTGCTACCTTTTGAGGGATCCCAGGTAAGGTTTATGCAGAGTAGATGCTTCCAGCTAGATAAGAAGAGGGTTGGACTAGAAGACCTCCAAAATCCCTTCCAACTCTTGTGCTCATCATGGCAGATTGAGGGAGGATCTCCCCAATGTTCTAAGTATCTGGACTTAATACATATTTGTTCATTTTAACCATTCTGGCATATTCTATTATGTATTCCTTTTTTGGTACCCAACCTGCAAACAGGTTTTGAACCAGCAATCTTTCATATGTTAAGTGCAGATTGCAGCGGCCACACTGTTTCAGCTGTGTTGTTACAAGGATATATGTTATTTATATCCTTGTAACACAGGTAGTCCTCAACTTATGACCACAACTGAGCCCAAAATTTATGTTGCTAAGTAAGAGATTTGTTAAGTGAGTTTTGCCCCATTTTACAACCTTTCTTGCCACAATTGTTAAGTGAATCATTGCAGTTGTTAAGTTTAGTAACACAGTTGTTAAGTGAATCTGGCTTTCCCATTAACTTTGCTTGTCAAAAGGTCGCAAAAAAGTGATCACATGATCCCAGGACACTGCAACCACCATAAATCTGAGTTAGTTGCCAAGCATTTGAATTTTGATCCTGTGACCATGGGGATGCTGCAGTGTGTGAAAGTACTTTTTTCAGTGCTATTGTAATTTTGAATGGTCACTAAATGAACTGTTGTAAGTCAAGAACTATCTGTAAGTGTGCCCCTTTCTTTGCAAAATAGCTAGTAAACTGCTAAAACAGATTGAAATACTTTATTCCAAACAGATAGAAACACTCTAAAAGCAACATAACAAACAAACATAATTTGGAAGTGGAACAGAAAAGTCTATCTTGAGGTTACTTTGAAGGCGAGTGGGAAATTAATAAAAAATGATATCCATTTTTACCCTTCACAAATAACAACAAATTAATTCTGACAATGAGGCAATCTGCCAGCATTGATAGACCCTATGTGCTTTCTGAATATTTAGACTAGTCTCCACCTTTTCACATTTGATCAGGAGCTGCTTAATATTAGTTGTTGTTATTATTTTCCATGTTCAAGGTCCATGAAGAGCCTGGAGATTATTAATAATGTCGCTCAAATATATAGGGATAAAATTGTGGGGTTTTGTTCCCCTGATTTTGGAGTAGTTGGGGAGATATTCTATAAAACAGCTTGCTAAGCCTTCCTTAGCAATGTGTGGCTGTGTCTTCAAGTTTTGATTCTTGGAGGCTTTCTAGGCAAGTCTCTGAAGTTTTCTTTAGGCAATATTTCCAAATGGTTTGACATTGCCTTTTTCCTAGGGCTAAAAGAGAATGACTGGCCCACAGTTACCCAGCTGACTTTGTGCCTCAAGTGAGACTAGAACATAGAGTCTCTCAGTTTCAATTGATGCCTTAACCACCTGATGTTTTGCCAACAGCTTTGACTGGCAGTTTCAGAGGCACAGAGAGCTACTTTTCTTGCTGATAAAATGTTAGGATACCAGAAAACGAGACCACTGCCATTAAGCTCAAAAACTTATCACTGCTTAACTGATGCCAGACACAAAAACATAAATCAATACACAGTTTTATATGTCTCAACAATGCTGGGTGATATTGTAAATTATTAGAGAGTGAATAGCCTTAATGAATATGGGATTTCTTTGCTTGCTTGCTTTATGGATTCCTTGATCACAAACAATCAGATGCCTTATTACTTCATAAAGGTAATATTACTTCTTTCCTAGAAAGGTTATTTTTATGCAATTGGCTTTTCTTTCTTTATTTCTTTCTTTCTCTCTCTCTCTCTTTCTTTCTCTCTTTTTCTTTCTTTCTTTCTTTCTTCTTCCTTTCCTCCCTCTTTCTCTCTCTTTCTTTTTCTCTCTTTGTATCCTGAATATGTAAAATCAACAGCCAATGTTTACCTGCTTGTAAACATACAATGCACTTGGTATTAGTATTTTTTAATGAGGACACAGTTTCTAAAACTAGTAGGCATTTTTGTGCAGTATGAGGAAATAACAATTTTAAAATTGTGAGGAGCACTGCTTATAGAAGCTGAAGGATATTCTTTTTTCTCAGATAAGTAATTAAATGGTGGTTTAGTCAAGTACTCACTGATCTGATTTGTAGATGAACTGTAAAAGGCATTCACTGTTGTTGGACTAGTAAACCACCTGTTGAAAAAGAGAAAAGAAAAGCAGATATTATTCTATTAATCAGAGAACATCTGTCTGTCTCCGTCCCCCTTCGTCCCCCACAAATGTCAAGTTCCTATATGAACTCATTGCTCATTTTGGCTAAATTTGGATCTCCCTCAAGATTTAAACTACAATTGCAGAGCCTGCCATTCAAAGCCATAGCAGGCACCTTATTATTCTATGTACAAAGGAAATCAGGATCCAACTATGTAGCAAAGGATGAAGATTAATAGTCTGTAAAAGTGGTTCAAACACCTACAGGTAGTCCTCAACCTACAACTATTCATTTAACAACTGTTCAAATTACAATGCCCTCAGAAAACGTGACTTATGACCTGTACTTACACTTACAACCATCACACAACCTTTATGCTCATATGTTAGCAATTTGGGCACTTGGCAATCTGTCTGTATTTATGTTCGATTGTAACATCCTGCAGTCACATGGTTTGATGTGCAACATTTTTTTGCTGATGTCCAGAAAAAAAAAAACGCCCATTGGGGAAACTAGATTCATTTAACAATGGTGTGATTCATTTAACAAATGTGGTGATTCATTTAACACAATCGATAAAAATTGTGATAAAATTGGGTCTGACTCATCTTATGACTGTAATGACTTACAATGACAATTCTGATCCAAATTGTGGTCATAAATCAAGGACTACTTGCACAATGGAATATCTTCCATCCTTGATCAAGCAGGTATTCTATATCTGACATTATAGCTAAAGTACATAAGCTTCCCTTTTTCAAATGAAATTTTAGAAAATGCATTAAGCATGGATATCAAAATATCAAAATTATAGGATTTATGAGATTATCCACCATTTTTATCAGTTTTTTTAATAAACCATCATCAAATATACTTGTGTAATATTATTTAATATTAAACTGTAAAACAATATAACAATTATTTTTGTTATCCATTCTATATTTTAAATATCATATATCATATATAAGCCTGAATATCACTGAATAGATATCTATTTAGTTAATACTTATAATACAAGAGACTTTATTTAGCAGGCATGGTTTGTCTCCCTACTCTGCACCCTTCTGGAAAACATTTTCCAATAAAATGATAAGATGGAAGATATATCTCAGCAAGAGAGTAGAAGATGAGTGACATCTAGGCTGAGGAATCAGGAGAAAACATTTAGCAAGGTTGACTGCATTCCAATTTCAGAGTCATTTACAGCAGCAGCCAAATACACTAATCTGAAAAGCAGCAGCACAGATGCTTAAAAAGAAGTGGCCTTACATAGGATAACATTGAATGACTTTTTGGAATGACCTGGAGTGGCACTAGGTCACTTTTATTAGAAATCTAAAATGTCATTGCACATTCTAAGTCTCCACAACGATCATAACTTTTAGCATCATTTCTTTATCTTATTTGCTTCAATTGTCTCGGAGCTTTCTTTCAATACGTTCTAACCTCAACCAGGCTTAACCCAAAGACATGAAAGCTGTCTCCATAAGTTTTACAATCGCTTAAAATGGATAAATATTTAGTATACTTCTTAAAAAGTATTAACTTTTATAAATGTCTATTGTTTGACATTAACATGCTTTAATTTTTTATACATTTATATTACTTATATAAAAATGTCCACCAGACCATTCATTACTGTATAGAGATTACACCTTTGCAGGAGAAAATTAATGCCAATAAAATTTCCCATATGCAAATACCAAACCAACAAACAGCATTATATTGGTACTGGTGTTGGTGGCAAGAGGTGACTTTTCTTGTTCTTCCAAATATTGATATAAATGCATAAGGATGGAATGAAGTTGCCTTATATAATTTCATTACATACCCAAAACTTTGTTAAATTTGTACTGTATATACAGTACAAATGCTTTGGGAAAGATTCCCTATGTAGATTCTCCTTATGTTCAGATATTTAAATTAGGTTTCAAATACAGTCTGCAAATATTCCATATGGCCACTTTTGTTGTTGCTGTTAGTTGCAAAGTTGTGTCCGACCCATCACAACCCCATGGACAACATTCCTCCAGGCCTTCCTGTCCTCTACCATCTTCTGGAGTCCATTTAAGCTCACGCCTACTGCTAAATGGCAACAAAAGCTAGAATTGTCTTTATTTCTTCCTGCCATCTACTGGTTATCCAGTACATTTCAGAGATCAGATTTTTCATACTTATTTAAATAACTGGAAAACTGTAAAATAATAATGTAGGGCCTGCTTCTTAAATACAGTTTTTTGGCTAATTTCAGAACAGTTTGTAAAAAAGACTAATCTATGCAGCTTTACTGTAACATATCTTTTCAGGCTATCCTTTATTGCTGCGTTCTAAATTAAGCTTGTAAAATACTGCATAGCAGACAATTCAGCTACAGTAAATTCAAAATGTACAAATATTGAAAAATCTTTACAACTTACCATTCCTCCCCAAAAAGGTTCTAAAATTCTGTCTCAAGACAGTGTAATTTAATCCTTCTCATTTTATTTGTTTGTTTATTTACAAGATTTAAAGGCCAGCTAACACCAGAATAACTCTGGGCATCTTACATTAAAAACATAAAATAATAAAAATATGTTTGTCTATGTTTGACCTCTTCCCTGCCTGGGAAAGTTCATAGTTTAGTCCAGTGATGGCAAACCTTTTAGAGACCGAGTGCCCAAACTGCAACCCAAAACCCACTTATGCATTGTCGGGTGCCAGGTGGGTGTGGCCAATTGGGTGGGTGTGTCCCATTGGGTGGGCATGGCTGCGGTGGTAATGGCAGACTGGCTGGGACTAAAAAGTTCAATCAATCAATTCCAACTTTGCAAGATCTTTTTTTTTCCCGCAAGTAGTTGAAATTGACTGATTGATTTTATAAAACCCAGCTGAAGGCCTAGGACTGGGGCGAGGGCATGCATGCCCACAGAGAGGGCTCTGAGTGTCGCCTCTGGCACCCATGCCGTAGGTTCGCCACCACTGGTTTAGTCCAAAACTATTAATGGGCATTAATAGGATTTGTCCTGGCCTACTGGAGAACTTCATAGCCAGTTAAGATAAGATAAGATAAGATAAGATAAGATAAGATAAGATAAGATAAGATAAGATAAGATAACCTTTATTGTCATTTTTTTTTACTGTGGGCACAACGACACACATCAAAAATGAAATTTAGTTGCCCGCTCTCAAAGTGAAATACATACATGACACACACCTAAACATACTATATACCACATATGTTTAGACCCCCACCCCTACATATACATAACAAATAAATATTAAATACTATCCATCTTGAATATATAATGGAAGGAGGAAACTTGAGAGTTCACAAGGTTAATGCTGTATGGAATGAAACTATGGCTGAATCTGGATGTTCTGCTATGGATACCATGAAGCCTCCTCCCAGAAGGTAACAAGGAAAACAGGTCATGAAGAGGATGTGAAGTATCCCAGATAATCTTACAGACCCTGCTCAAGCAGTGCTTCTGTGCTATGTCCTGGATGAGAGGGAGGGAACTGCCAATGATCTTTTTGGCCATTCTCTCCCTCTCTGCACCGCCTTCCTGTCTGAAGTAGTGATGCTTCCAAACCAGACTGTGATGCTGTATGACAGGTTGCTCTCGATCATCCCCCTGTAGAAAGTGGTCAGGACAGAGGAAGGAAGATGTGTTTTTCTCATGCGGCACAGAAAATGCAGGTGCTGCTGTGCCCACTTCATCTGTTTCTCATTGTTGAGCGACCAAGCCAGCCTACTCGTTACCTGCACACCCAGGAATTTGATGCTGGTAACCATCTCCTCAGGTGAATCATTAATGTACAGAGAAGTGTGGCTGTGCCTGCCTTTTCTTAAATCAACAATGATCTCTTTGGTTTTTTGGGTATTTAAAACTAGGCTGTTTTCCTTACACCAGTTCATCAACCCTCAATCTCCTTGCAGTAAGCTTCCACCTTGTCATCCTGAATAAGGCCCACTACTGTTGTATCACCTGCAAACTTCACAATATGGTTGGTGACAAACCTAGCATAATAGTCATGGGTCAACAGGGTGAACAGCAGCGGATGTAAGACGCAGCCCTGAGGAGAACCTGTGCTCAAGAAAATGGTATTAGAGGTATTTGTTCCAACTCGCACATATTGGGGCCTGTTGGTAAGAAAATCAAGAATTCAGTTGCACAATGGAGTGTTTAAGCCTAAAAGGCCCAGTTTGTCTACTAGATGCTGGGGAATGATTGTGTTAAACTGAAGTCGACAAACAATAAACGCATGTGAGTATTTCTTTCCTCTAAGTGCTTGAGGCTCAGATGGAGAATGGAAGAAATAGCATCCTCCATAGAGCAATTTGGTCAGTAGGCAAACTGAATGGTAGAAAATGGAAGATACTCAACCATATCTGGAATGTGGCTATAGGAATATTTTGGAGATTACACTGTAGGAAATTACAGTTTGAATTAGTATTCTGGGGTGGGGGAAGCTGATTCCAATACTTGTCTATTATCAACACTAAGATTAGAAAGACAAAGACCCCTAAATTCTGCATCCCCCACCCAAAATCTAAAGACATGGCCTTTAGGACATAATAGGGTTAACCCACCACCATTAGAATACCAAAAGGGCACACTGAAGCTCAGATCAAAGTTCATTGCACAGGAACAATCTCAAACAAGAACAACTCCAAACATAAAGCCCCCAAAAGGTATAAAAACCCACCCACTCCCAGCTCCATTTTGTCAGCCATCCCAGAAACATGTTACTGTCACTGAAGTTTCTGGCAACTAAATAAACTGAACCTTCTTTCCTAAGCAGTCTCCATTTTGTTTATTCCTGGCTTGGACTGGACCTTGATGAAATTTTTTCTTTCAACAGGCCTAATGAAATTTTATAAAGAGAAATATGATAAAAAGTAATGTTTCTCCTGATTGCAGTTAACTTTATAATTAAAGTTTTCGCCCCTTCTGAGATATCTATATAACTGGCTATTACAATGATGACAGAAAAATAATCCTCACAATTTGAATTCTCAGATAATGAGGACTATATTTTTATGTTTGGAAGGAATAAAATGGGTTACTGTATCTCCAGATTTGCATGGTCTGGATTACAACAGACTCTGAAAACCTTGATTCCTGACCTAAAATGAAAGTAATGTGAATAAAATAGTTGTATTGAAATTGAAGTGAAAGGCCATTACACTGTTGCAATACAAGCCCTACCATTTTCTACATCTTTCACACCCTGAACAATCAGAGCTTTCAGCACAACAGCAAGATGCTGTTTTTTGTCCTGATTCAACAACAAGCTCCTAGAGAATTTCTGATTCAGATTCAGTTCTCCTTTAAACTTGATACTCAACAACTGAATTTAGACAGCACAGGTCCATGGCCTATTTTATATCTCAGAAACTACACATATAGGCTTGTTCTGTGAGAAAAAGATATAATAAAATAATTTAAGAATAATAAAGATAGAATAATAAAGATAGAATAATAAATAAGATCCCAAGGAAAAGCCATAAGAAATGCCTTACAATTATGGCAAAAAAAGTTTATATTACTATGTTCTGTCTGTTTGTACTAACTAGTTCAGAACCATTCCCCCAAACCCTCTAAAGAAAATTAAGCCAGGTAAATAGGAAAAACAAGTGGGGAAAGGTAATATTAAACAGCCCCTGGAGAAAGAAAAAGAATAAATATAAGCTGGATTTTAATATAATACATGCTGAGTTGTTGAACAGTTCTCTTCATTCCAAAGTAGAATAGTGATGGAAGATAATACATACGGGATTGCCCTACAATTTTATATTTCAGGAAATATTTGCCAATTAATTTAATTTTCAGTGACATTTTAAAGACTAAGAATTTTCTCAGGATACCTACAGTATTAGTGCAGCTAATAACCGCATCCATAAGAATGAAAGATCAAGGGGGTTTATCTACTTCTTCATAAAGTAGAAAATGTGTTTGTTGCTCTGGACACTCATGACAAACTAAATATAATTTGTTATAGAAATGATAGCAAATAATCTAGAAGAATCTCAGAACATTTTCAGGTTTTTCTCTTAGTTTACAACATGCACATACAAAACAAGGGCTATGATAGGTGTTCCTGTGGCTTTTGTATTGTATTGCAAAGACAGATCTCAGCAATGTAGTGGCCTACTCTCCCCTCTTTTACACCCAGAGAGGTACACAACAGATAGATGAAAGAAGCAACTGTTTCATGATCTTCTTTGCAAATTCTTCTGCACACTGAAATGCAGTAGCAGGACTTAAAAGAGGAAAAGGATGTAGGTTATGGAAAGGGTTTAAGATCTGTGTGGTTGTGGAGCCCCTCTTCTCTTTGTCAAACTAGAGGGGGGAAAAGAAAGGAATGTCATTTCCTCTTGATTCTTTGTCTTATGATATCATCTGGCAAACATCTTCTTTTAAAATAAAAGGAGAAGCTTACTTTCATCCATTTTAAAATGAATGAATTCAACCCCATTACTTTATTGACCCTAAGTTCATAATAGTAACTCTGCTTATTTTCGTGGATAGCCATCATTTATGAAAATTATATTCGACGGAAATTCCAGCAGTACCATTCCAAACAGTCATAATTGCCAGCAGAAACTCATCTGTAGCACAGTTATCATCACAAAACAATTATTAAGTTCTAAACCAGGCAAACTAAGCATTTTAAAATTTTATCCGTTTCAGAACAATAGATTGGGGATGAAAAGTCTAAAATTTGTGTTAAATTATATTTCTTGTATATTAATTGTCTGATAATATTTCATCTCAATACTTCCCCAGCACATCTCGTCCCAACTCACTCTGTTTTGGGGACTTCTTTTCTCAGCCAGTAGAAATCTGATTGGGCCACATGTCTGCGAGTCTGAAGGACATTGCCAAAATAGTCTGTTTCTGAAAACTTCATCTGGAAATAAATATAAAGATTATGCTAATATAATTAGATTAAAACAGATGAACAACCTTAATATACTAGACAAGTAAAATATCAGAATTTAAATATTCTGAAAAAAATGCCTTCTCCTCCTTTTTTTCATTGTGGTCCAAAACCAAATCAGGTACAATCCAAAAACATAATAGCATTATAACAGTTTGATACAAATAATACTTCTGTTAACAATTTGGATATGATATAATTAATTGAAACCAATATATGGAACAAATAAAAAGGTGATCTTAAGACCTCTCTCATTGATTGGGTTTGCTATGTAGTCTTTCTATTAAAGGGCAAATTAATTAAGAGTGCAGTTCCACCTAGAATTTACATCTTAGAAATCTACCTTCTAAGGTTTTGAAATTGCCCTAGAGGCATAGGAGCATTGATTAAGTGCTGCAGAGATTCTTTTTATATCTGCTATCCATAACTGCAGAAGGAAATACATTAAAATGTGTTTTGAAAAAGGCCCATTGCTAATGGATATAGAACAACTTAAAAATGTAGGTTGTGGTTCCCTTGAAAAAATGTAGGTTGTGGTTCCCTTGATTCACTGAGGTGAAAATACGACCAAAGGACTGCTATTAAATTATGTCCAATATATCATAATATTTCTTCAAAAAGTTCCATTTCATATACAGTCAGAGAACATGCCATGTGAAGTAGTTTGAAGATATTTCTTTATAATGTCTTGTTGTACAATCATATACTAGGAAGGACAAATGTCCCATGAAAAATGAATAGATTCTGACCCAGAAAGATATGATTAGTTCCTAACACTTGTTTCAGTGCTAATCAACCAGCTTCTATTCTAAATACAACATTGGATGTACTTCTAGGTGTAGAAAATATGGCTCTCAGAAAGAATGATTGTATTATTTCATATAATTAGAATTTTATGCCGGGGTTCAGTTGCACCCACCATAAAGAATTGTACTACCAATTTTGAAAGAAATAATCTGTTGGTTACAGGTATATGTCCACCCTAATTCCTAAAACAATCCTAGAAGGGCTGCCATTCTTTTCTGAACTGCTATGGTAGCATAATTGACATGTAAAATTGATAACTATTGCTAGATATTTGAAACAACTACCTTGTACTATTGGTTGCCTATCTATGTGGAATAGAATATAGGATAGAATATTAATTTTATTGTCACTGTGAATGTACACTAATGGGCATACATTAAAATGAAATTTCATTGCATTCAGATCTCAAAGGGTCACCTCTTCCAATATACACTACATAATTATGACAAAAATAAATAAATAAATAAATACACCCCTTTATGGATTACTGCCTTGTCGTGGCGAAGGGGCTTGTATAACTCAATGAAGCTGTAAGCTATGCCGTGCAGGGCCACCCAAGACGGACAGGTCATAGCAGAGAGTTCTGACAAAATGTGATCCACTGGAGAAGGAAATGGCAACCCACTCCAGTATCTTTACCATGAAAACCCCATGGACAGTACTAAAAGGCAAAAAGATATGACGCTGGAAGATGAGCCCCTCAGGTTGGAAGGTGACCAATATGCTACTGGGGAAGAGCAGAGGGCTAGTACTAGTAGCGCCAAAAAGAATGAAGCGACTGGGCCAAAGCCGAAAGGACGCTCAGCTGTGGCTATATCTGGTGGTGAAAGGAAAGTCCGATGCTGTAAAGATTTTTTCTCCATAGGAACCTGGAATGTAAGATCCATGAATCAAGGCAAGCTAGACGTAGTCAAAAAAGAGATGACAAGACTGAACATCGACATCTTAGGAATCAGCTAACTAAAATGGACAGGAATGGGTGAATTTAATTCAGATGACCATCAGGTATACTACTGTGGGCAAGAATCCCTCAGAAGAAATGGAGTAGCCTTCATAGTCAATAAAAGAATAGGAAAAGCAATACTGGGATACAATCCCCAAAATGACAGAATGATCTCAGTGCAAATCCAAGGCAAACCATTCAATATCTAAATCTAAATCTATGCCCCAACCACTGGTGCTGAAGAGGATGAAATTGACCGGTTCTATGAAGCCCTACAGCACCTTATAGAATTAACACCAAAAAGTGATGTCCTTATCATCATGGGGGACTGGAATGCTAAGGTAGGAAACCAAAAGATAACCGGAATAACAGGCAAGTTTGGTCTTGGAGTACAAAATGAAGCAGGGCACAGGCTGATAGAATTTTGTCAAGAGAATATGATGGTCATAACAAACACTCTTTTCCAACAACCCAAGAGATGGCTCTACACATGGACATCACCAGACAGTCAACATAGAAATCAGACTGACCATGTGCTCTACAGCCAAAGATGGAGAAGCTCTATACAATCAGTAAAAACAAGACCAGGAGCTGACTGTGGCTCCGATCATGAGCTTCTTGTTGCAAAATTTAGGCTTAAATTGAAAAAAGTAAGGAAAAGCACTAGGCCACTCAGGTATGAACTAAATCATATCCCTGATGAATATACAGTAGAGGTGACAAATAGATTTAAGGAATTAGATCTGATAGACAGAGTGCCTGAAGAACTATGGATGGAAGTTCACAACATTGTACAAGAGGGAGCAACTAAAACCATCCCAAAGAAAAAGAAATGCAAGAAAGCAAAATGGCTGTCTGAGGAAGCTTTGCAAATAGCTGAGGAAAGAGGGGAAGCGAAAGGCAAAGGAGAAAGAGAAAGATACACCCAATTGAATGCAGAATTCCAGAGAGTAGCTAGAAGAGATAAGAATGCCTTCTTAAATGAACAGTGCAAAGAAATAGAAGAAAACACCAGAATAGGGAGGACCAGAGATCTCTTCAAGAAAATTGGAGATATGAAGGGAACGTTTCATGCAAAGATGGGCATGATAAAGGACCAAAATGGCAGAGACCTAACAGAGCAGAAGAGATTAATAAGAGATGGCAAAACTACACAGAAGAACACTATACAAGAATGAGCTTAACGTCCCAGATACCACAATGAGATGGTCACTGAACTTGCACCAGACATCCTATAATGTGAAGTGAAATGGGCCTATAGAAATTTTGAGCACACAAAGCTAGTGGAGGTGACAGTATTCCAGCGGAGCTATTCAAATCGTAAAAGACAATGCCAGTAAAGTGCTACACTCAATTTGCCAACAAATTTGGAAAACTCAAAGTGGCCACAGGATTGGAAAAGGTCAGTTTACATCCCAAGTCCAAAGAAAGGCAATGCCAAAGAATATTCAAACTATCGCACCATTGCACTCATTTCACATGCTAGTAAAGTTATGCTTAAAATCCTACAAGCTAGACTTCAGCAGTATGTGGATCGAGAACTACCAGAAGTACAGGAAGGATTTCGAAGAGGCAGAGGAACTAGAGATCAAATTGCCAACCTACACTGGATCATGGAGAAAGCTAGGGAGTTCCAGAAAAACATCTACTTCTGCTTCATTGACTATGCTAAAGCCTTTGATTTTGTGGATCACAACAAATTGTGGCAAGTTCTTAAAGAGATAGGAGTACCAGACCATCTCATTTGTCTCTTGAGAAATCTATATGCGGGTCAAGAAGCAACAGTGAGAACTGGACACGGAACCACTTATTGGTTCAAAATTGGAAAAGGAGTCCGGCAAGGCTGTATACTGTCGCCCTGCCTATTTAACTTATATGCAGAGCACATCATGAGAAAGGCAGGGCTAGATGAATCAAAAGTTGGAATTAAGATTGCCGGGAGAAATATCACCAACCTAAGATATGCAGATGATACCACTCTGATGGCAGAAAGTGAAGAGGAACTAAAGAGCCTCTTGATGCGGGTGAAGAAGGAGAGTGCAAAAGTTGGCTTGAAACTCAACATTAAGAAACCAAAATCATGGCATCCGGCCCTCTCAATTCCTGGCAAATAGATGGGGAAGAAATGGAGGTAGTGACAGATTTTATTTTTCTGGGCTCAAAGATCACCTCAGATGGGACTGCAGCCAGAAATTTAAAAACGCTTGCTCCTGGGAGGAAAGCTATGGCAAAATCGAGACACGTACTAAAAGCAGAGACATCACCTGCCAACAAAAGTGCGTATAGTCCAGCCATGGTTTTCCAGTGCATGTATGCTGTGAAAGTTGACCATGAGAAAGGCTGAGCCTAAAGAATTGAAGGTCTTTGAACTATTGTGCGGAGAAGACTCCTGCGAGTCCTTGTCTGCAAGGCGTTCAAACCGGTCAGTCCTAGAAGAGATCAACCCCGCTGCTCTTTAGAAGGCCATATCCTGAAGTTGAAACTCAATACTTTGGCGCCTGCAATGAGAAGGAAGGGACCACTGGAGAAGGGCCTAATGCTTGGAAAGATTGAGGGCAATAGAAGAAGGGGACGACAGAGAATGAGATGGCTGGATGGAGTCACTGAAGCAATAGGTGTGAACTTAAATGGACTCCAGAAAATGGTAGAGGACAGGAAGACCTGGAGGAACGTTGTCCATCGGGTCGCGATGCGTCGGACATGACTTTGCAATTAACAACAACAAAATAAATACAGAATTATGCATATACCCACATATATTATATGACTCAGAGAAACAACAGTCTAGTACAGGTTATGTATATGTGTGCATGATGAGAAAAATGAATGTAACAGTATAATAGTGTATAATTGTCAGGTGTGAAAGATCAAGACCACACATGAAGTTCTAGTTAAACTGATTTATTACTAATCATGCCTATGCACAGGAATCTACTCAACTAATGGCTAACACTATCTTGTCATTAGATAAAAGTCAGTGAAATTCAAGAAGGGTTGGACTTAGTCAAAGGTCCACAGAGACTTTAGGCTGATTTCTCATTGACTCCACTCCAAGCTCTGCCAATCCTTCTACAATAATACCGTTTTTCAAACTGAATTTTCCCCTATGAATGTTAACTTCAAAATATGTTGGTTATGTGTCCAATAACTTTGGTGCTTTTCTGTATTGTATATAAATTGGAAAGCAATGCAATTCTGTTGAAAAGAAAATGGTGTTTTAACACCACACTGTTTCCATGAGTTCTATAAATACATAATTGCAAGATGATCTTATTTTTAAATGAATAGAATTGTCTTTCTGCATTAGAAAATTAGTGAATATTGCCATGTGAGCATATACTAGGAAATTTCATAGACAACAAAGTGGTTTTGCCCAACATATGGCACACTGGATAACTTAACATAATTATTCCACTGTTGCTTCTAGAGCTTGGTACTGCATGCATTTTGATGGCTATTTATGGAATGCATTTTTATGGTGAATAGTATAAAAATGTGGAAGAACAAGTATACTTTAAAATCCCTTCCTTGAATCATATTTGAGGAAAGTTAATAATCTTGACATCTGAAAGAAAACTAATTATATTTTTAAATATGAAATATTTGGAACCAAAAAATAAACAAGCTGCAAACATAAAATTGGTCTTCTTTTAAAAAATTTTAATGCTTCCATCAGCTAAATTTTAACTCATTTTCAGATTATGACCTTTAAGAGCTAATAAATATTTTAGAACATTGAGGAAATGACTTAAAAATATAACTGCTGGCAACTTCAAAAAAAAATAGAAATATGATAAGATCACAGTTTTAAACTCAGACCCTACAGTTAAGAGTATCAATAGTTTAGTACAATTTTCAGACCTGCCAAACAATATACTTGGAGCTCTGTTTTTTTTTTTTTTTTTTTACTTTGCTGGATATTTAACAAATTAGTAGTAGAATTATGATTCAGTAAGTGGACTGCAGTTGCCATTAATTTGCTTCAGCAACACGGTTGACAATAATCACTGTTTTATTTTGAAGATAGCTACTGCGTATATTGCAAAACAAACAGCTAAATATGAGGCTTACACTTCTCTTCAGAGATTAAATACATCTTAGGATACTTACTCATCATCATTTGTTTCAATTAAAAACATTTGGTTCTCCTGAGAGGTGATGATGCTTAACAAAAGATGTCATGTAAATAATGTGAGCAATTAAGTGGAACTCAAGAAATGTACAAAGCAAACTTATATAACTGAAGACATGCATCAATGAAGCTCTTAAAAGTTATTACTCCTTTACTTCCAGTGGGAATTAATTGTGTGCATAGCATTAATATATCCTGAAAAAGCAGGGCAGAGACAAGGACAAGGAAGGAAGGTAGGCTGCATGAGGGAGAGGAGGCTTTGTAATGGGAGGGTGATTGCATTTAGCACTAGACTTTTGTAATTTATATTTATAATACTCTTTGCTCTGGTTAAATCTTGAACATTCTACATGGTGAATGAGCATATGAACATATATGCATTTGTAATTTATATTATAACAATAATTGCAACAAGTAATAATTGAAAATAATAAAATAAAACTTACTGTTTTGATGCCTTCTGTAACATATGTATCATTCATTATAAATCCAGGATAACCCACTTTTGCCAAAACTGATTTTGCCTTTAGAAAAAAAAATGGATAAACACAACAAAGACAAGGATGACCATTTAAAGTAAATTTTAAATCATATGGTAATCTTAATTGCGCTCGCAGTTGTTGTTAGCTTTAAAAACAGGAAATCTGTATTTTACTTTCCTGCAAAGAACAATAACAAATAACCTGCAGAATGTTATTTATCCATAGTAAGTATAAAAAACTTCTGTTATTTTTCAAAAATCCAGGTTGGAGATGGTTAGATGGAGATGGATCTTTTCATGCAAAAATATGTAGTTGTCACAAGTCAAATGTTGCTCATAAACACTAGTGTTCCAGGGCTGAGTCTTGGGAAATGTGTTTTTTTTCGGGGGGAGGGGGGGACACTCCCTAGCCTATTCTGCTCACTGTTCATCCTACTGTGTACCTTGCTTTAATCTGATCTAAAAAAAATTCTTTGTCTATGAAGCTGTGCAAAATATTTTACACTGCATTCTTTCTTCTCAACCAAGGGACTCCAAATTTGGCTTTGTAGTGTCTCTGCTCAGCAGTTACTTTTTCCTCCCTTAAAGATAGTAATATATACAGCATAATGATTGGTTCTATGATAAGCAGTTTTTATGTACAGATTGTTCAAATCTAGACATCCTATATGAGGGGGAGAGGAACACTGTTATGACTTTTAATTCAAACCAGATGGTAGGAACTCTCTTTCATGTAGGATAACAACATATAAAACAAGCAAAGCCATCTGAAAACCCTTCAAATATAATGTGTGGGAGTGAATCTATTGACTAGATTAGAGTTCAGTAAGTAGAATTATTTGTCTATACATCTTCTAGGTTAAAGAATACTTTATTTATATTGTGCAGGGTGCAAGCATGCCCTGTTTACCTTTGGGAAAATATAATTGCCTCTCTGTGTCAGGAAAAAAGGTAATATTTTCTGCATTCACAGAGTACTGTAATAAGAAGCTTTTCAGATACACGTTTAACCAGTCTTTTGACTGTGTCAGAAAAAATAAACAATTCTCCAAGTATCAGAGATTTTGGATTTTGATGCAAAACCCAGGTGAGACTTTGTCCCTCTGCCTTGATACAGAAGTTACCTGTGGCCAGATTCAGCTTCACAGGAGCATATATTGAATCTTCCTACAATACTGGGAGGCAACAAGGAGCATCATATCTGAACTGATAAGCAAAAAGAATTTTCTGAATAGGTGAGGGGCTGCTGCCATCCTGTGGTTATCCAGATTTTTGTAGCCCAGATTATAGCCTGGCTAAATGTAAATGTAAATTAGACAGAAGATGAGATTCTGTAGGAACCAGTCGGTTAAGCTTAATAGTGCTTGATCTCTCTAAAGAAACATACAGGTAGTCCTCAATATAAAACAGTTTATTTAGTGACTGTTCAGTCAGCACTGAAAAAAGTGACTTTTTCACACTTATGACCATTGCAGCATCTCCATGGTCATGTGATCAAAATTCGGACACGTGGCAATTGATTCACATTTAAGACTGTTGCAGTGTCCTGAGATCATGTGATCACCTTTTGCAACCTTCTTACAAGCAAAGTCAATGGAGAAGCCAGAGTCACTTAACAACTATGTTACTAATTTAACAACTACAGTGATTCACTTAACAATTGTGGAAATAAAGGTTGTAAAATGGGGCAAAACTCACTTAAATGTTTCACTTAGCAACAGAACTTTGAGGCACAATTGTGGTCGTACATTGAAGACTACCTGTACTGATCACTATGGGGAGATAAGGATAAGCATTCATTGTTCTTTTACTTTGGGGGGGACTTTTCTAGTTCTCATTTTTGGCTAAGAGGAAGTGCTCAAAAAGATCAAGTTATAAAAGAAATGTTGCCATTCAGTTTCTGAAAATTCCTTAGTTTTCTAGCCCACATGGCCAATTTTTTTATTATGCAGACTAAAGCAGACATGGCAAAAATTTTGAACGTCATACACACAGATTGTAAATGATTTAAATGAATTTTAATATGAATATCTTACCACCTGGAAACAGAAAAATCCTGCTATCTTGTCTTACACACAGAATAATCTGACCTCTTGGGTACTATAGCAATACACTTTAACTTCAATGGCTGGCCTTTAGCTACTCCCTCTGGCAATAAATTCTGTTAGGCTAATCATGCTAACCCCAGGTATTTATTTGTCACTTGTGGAAATATCTTGACTTTACAATTAATTGAGATAATTAATACGTGACATCCTGCAGAAAACAGGTGGGAGATTAACAGCAGGAGCAGCAGAAACAGATGAATCCTTAAGCAAGACAGATCCCATTGTCATGCAAATGATCTCAGTGACAGAAAAACAATAGAAGACAAATGCCATACAGAACAAACTGGGAAATGAAGTAAATAACAAAAGAGAATATTTCTTCTTAATTTTCCAAAAGGAGCATCAGAGCCTCACAGGTTTTTATTATTATCAAGAAAAACCATATCTTATTGTTGTTTGGTATATGACTGATTGACACTGTGTAATTACTGTTAGGTTAAAATACCTGATTGTTTTCTCTTCTTATATTCAACACAAAAGGGCAAGTAGGAAAAAAAATGCTGAAATTTCTGCTGATCTAGTTTTTTAAATGACTTAGGTAAGTCATAGAGGTCTTGCATGTCTTCTAAAGTAGTCATTTAAAGCAATTAAGCAACTTTGTGTTGTGTTCATGCTTTTCAGTATAGAGCATTAAGCAAACAGAAGGAGAATAATAACTTTAAGAGCTGATAAATTTTGACCTTTAAAGAAAACACCTACTCATTTTGCAGCATGACTAATTACAAAGTTTGGAAGATAATGAATGTGGATGAACTGTCCCAACCTGGTGAATGATTTCCAAGTGAACTAATTGCTGTAAATATTGATCAAATGCCAAGGCTAAAGATATTTCAAATCAGAACTAGGCTGTATAACATCATCTGAATCTGGGGGTGGTGATGTTAAAACATAATCAATAGGTCATCAAAAAGAAACATTACTGTATAATGTTATACAGTATAATATACATCCATATTTATTAATTTCCATACTTCCTGGATAGGTCTGGGAACTGAGTCCTCTCTTAATCCATGAAGTGAGCAATCATTATAGGATGACTGAAGAACATAATAGATAAGATGAATATTATATTTCTATGTTTGTGGGTCTTTTTCATATGTAAATGATTTTTAACCATTCTGTGTCATTGTGTGATCATAGGAAAAATTCTAACTGGACCTCCTGGTTGGCAATCCCACATCTAGTTTGGTATCAAATTAAATTTATCAGTGTTTCTTATATTTTATATAAAAGGAGTGTATGTTTTATTACAATAAGAGATATGTCCGAAGTAGAATAAACAGACCTTTATTTAAATTAAATAAATAGAGTAAAAAGACATTTATTTAAACTAAACTACATTGAATTTATTACACCCAACTAAGGTGTAGGTCTTCCACATCACTTTGGGATGTGTACCTGAGTCTTTGACAATAAATAAAAATCATGCATAATTATGGAATGTAAGATCCAATCTGGGTCGGTCATCAGCATCAGAGGTTTCCTCTTCCAAGCTTTCAGACTCGTGCTGGAGCCCCCATCCTCTTGGGGAATTTCTCTCTCACTGGAACGCATGCTTTGGGCTATTCTATGAGTTGTATTTATGTGGTGCCTTCCTATTGGTTGATTGGTGTGTTGATGGTTGGCAACTGGCTATTGTTTCCTTTTGCCGCCAAGCCCTTGGCTCCTAAGTACCTGATAAATTGGTTGTAAATCAATACTCTGACAAGGGCCCATTTCCCAGGCTTCAATCATTGTGTTGTACCTGCACAATCTTAGTAGCTATGAAACTGAATTTATGTTCATTGCAATGTGGAATGCATTAAAGAATGCATCAGGAAATGAATGGAAGAAATGTGGATGATGTCTAAAATCTATTTCATTTGACTACATTAAGTATCAAGACAGCCTTCCAATCCAGCATTTTACACTAATAATGTGGCCAAATAGGAATTGCATCTATGTTTAATAAAGAGCATAAGGAATTTATTTAAGCTGTGTTTAGTCATTAAAAAAACTTTTTATCTATACTGCACTCTGCTGATTTTTTTCATTCTTCACTGCTTACTAGAATGATATTGTTATCCGATACCTAAGAGAAATCCAAGTTCCAGTCACTGCCTAATGTAGACTGTGTTCTTCTATGATAATTATTACTATGCTGTTTATTTGTTGCATAACTGTTGACTCCAAGCTCTTCTTTATTGCAGAGGTCCCCAACCTTTTGGGCACCAGGGACCAGTTCCATGGAGAGGTTTTCCCATGGACCACAAAGTGTGTGGTTTTGTGTGCTGCCTCAAATCCCGTGGATGGGGTTTTGCTTGTTTGTGCAGACCGATTGCTGGCATGCCACAGCCCGATACTGGTCCATGGACTGGGGGTTGGGGACCCTTGCTTTATTGTATACATTTGTTGTATACAAGTATGCATTTGTTACATGCATATTTTTGTTTTTAGATAGCTAATGAGCATAGCCACAAGTATTTTGATCTCACACAGTTCGGTTAATATTTTGGACTATGCTGTTCTCTGGAAATAGAATGACAGCTGGAAACTCAGGGTTAAATATAATTTCCCCTTCTCCGGTCTTCCACAATCTGTCTGCACTGTGCTAGGATTATTAATGGAACTGACATCTCCTTACAACTGACTGAGCACTGGCAGCAGCCAGGTAACAAGGGAGAAGCTGACTGCAGCAAATAATCTAACACCAAAAGATAAAAGAGTATTAAACACGTCATGACAAATGGTTTCAGATCAAGCCAAAGTAGATGAAAAACATCACATCTGGTTAGTGAATCCATGCTTTTGTGAATTAGATGCACATAGATTAAAATTGCTTTTTTGAGGGTAAAAGTTACTACCTCCAGAGATATAAATTGTAAACCACAATCATATGCTTCTTATCTCTATCCCATCCTATTCAAACCCATTAATGCAGGCAAGATATGAATAG